ATTTTTTTGGTTTCTTCAGCGAATAGTTGACAAGAGTAGCTCTCTGAATTAGGGTGTCCCTCTTTTGGGTTTATTCCGGATCCCTACGCCCGAAAGCCTCCAAGGCTGCAAGCCTGAAACCCACAACTCACCAGAGGGGGTTGAGGGCTTCGGGTTTAGGGCTGAGGGCATCGGACTTATAAGGTTTGATGTTTAGGGTTTAGGGTTTAGGGTTTAGGGTTTAGGGTTTAGGGTTTAGGGTTAGGGTTCACACATGGACCCCAGGCGCCACTACTGTACTCTTCAGCTGCACAATTCGGAAATTGGGAGGGCCGCCTTTGGGAGGGTACTTGAGGTGCCGAAGTTGGTGATAGAGGCCGAGGCCTCACGGTCTCAGGTTGTTTAGGGTTTATGGTTTAGGGGTTAGGGGTCAGGGGTTAGGGTTTAGGGTTTAGGGATTAGGGTTTAGGGTTTAGGGTTTAGGGTTTAAATGCCCTAAACCATAAATCCGAAGCCTCAAGCCCGAAGTGCTGAACTCGAAGCCCTACACCCCGGAACGACTTAGTGTCAGGATGTTCTGAGTTTGAACACCTACCTACTTGGGCCTCTCTCCCTCTCTCTGCGTCGGCCTCCTCTTGCAGTATGATGCTGAGAGGGTGCTGCCAGGAACACTGGGGATGCGGCTTAGGGGTTGGAGGGTTTCCCCAATACGGCGCCCCTTACGAATTTCGGAGACCGCACATAGGGTTGAAACCCGAAACCTCTACAACCTAAACCCTCAAGCCATACATAGGGTTCAGGGTTGAGGGTTTAAGCCTTTAAGCCCTACACACACAAACCTTTATTAAGCCTCCAACCCTAAACCCGATAAAGCCTAACACCTCCTCCCACCCCCTACCCCCCCACCCACCCACCCACCCACCCACCCACACACACACACACACACACACACACACACACACACACACAGACAGGGTTTAGAGTTTGGGTTTTGGGGTTGAGGGTGGCTCGTACAAGTTTGGGAGTTCGGTGCGCCAGTCGACCCGAGAACCCTGGATCCGAAACCCCAAGCGCTCTTGTAGCGAGTCTGGGTTTAGGGTTTAGGCTTTAGGGGTTAGGGTTTAGGGTTTAGGGTTTAAGGTTTAAGGTTTAGGGTTTAGGGTTTAGGGTTTAAGGTTTAGGGCACAGAGCTGATAGCTTTTGACATTCGAGCTAGCGGCACCCTCTGGCAAATTCAGCGACAGCGTACGGTTTAGGGTTTAGGGTTTGGGTTGGGCAATTCCAAAAGCTTAAATTAAAGGAACCAGCAGGGGGGATGGTGGATGTAGGGAGTTGGGAGATATTCGGAGTTTCCTGTTTCCAGGCTCTGAGATCTTTGCTTAGGGTTGATATCCGGGGTGGGGGGGGGGGGGGGGGGGAGGCTATCGGCAGCACAAGATTTCACCCCCAGAACAGGATGGTCTTCTGCTACTCTCAGTAGCTGAGTAGGTAGCCTTTAATGTTTTGGGGTACACATAATCCTACCACAATTGAAAGGTTGGCCATGCTTTGGCCCAGGATACCCAGCACTAGGTTTTCAAGCACTCGATGGTCCGTTTTTCGGATATTGTGATTTCTCCTTGTTGGGTTTCAGATGGTCCTCGTTCAGAAATATGTTTCGGAGATTTGACGGGCACACAAGGAGCGCTGGCCTCTACAGTCAGGAGGAAGACGGATCAAACGTCTGTTCGCCTAAGCACGAAACGCCAAAACACCCCAAACCCGAATACCTAAAGCCTAAACCCTGTAATCCCTAAACCCTAATACGTAAACCCCTACACCCTGTAATCCCAATCTATGTCTTTCCCTGCCAGACCACGCAGTCGCTTCGCACCTCATGTAGCATATCCGCGGGAAGCCCGCGGCAAAATACACTGTTCCGCTTTGTGGGGTGACAGAGGCTTCCCAAAGCATTCCCGAAGGGCCCATGTACTTAGACAGGTTTAGGGTTTAGGGTTTAGGGTTTAGGGTTTAGGGTTTAGGGTTTAGGGTTTAGGGTTTAGGGTTCCTTGAAGGTTTTCCCATGTCGTGGCTGTAGGGCCCGAGTATATACTTCATAGGTACGTGGACCCGCAGGGATGGAATTAAAGATGCCTTCTTGCAGCGAGGGACCTGCTTCTGCAAAAAAGATGGTTGATGGCCTTCATATTGCGGTGCTCAGATCTCAGGCCTGTCCCCTTCATGGAATACCCCCCCCCCCAAACCCTAAATCTTAAATCCTAAACCCTAAACCCTAAACCCTAAACCCTAAACCCTAAACCCTAAACCCAAGCCTTACACTTCCAACCCCCCAACCCTAAACTCGAAAACTCGCGGTGTCTTCTGCTGTGCCCAACCGAGCCACCCAACTTTCCAAAGGCAACTTTAGAGTCTGAGTAGCCGAGTAGGCAACCTTTAATCTTTTGGGGTATACAGAATTACTCGCATTACTTTGCGAGTCGTTGTAGCTGAGTAGGTAGCCTTTGGCCGTTTGGGGTATACAGAATCCTACCACAATTGAAAGGTTAAGCTATTTTTGGTCCAGGGTCTCAGCCACCAGAAAGTTAGCGGGTGCACAGAGGAACCTTAACACCCTTCAAAAGGGCAAAACCATTTTAATTATGCGGAGAGAGATGCCGTCTTTTGGAAGGGTCAAGGCTAGTCTAGATAGTCCGAAGTGTACAGGGCAGAGCTCATGACGAGCCCCAATCGAAATCACAGCCCTCTCACAACTCCATGACTGTTCACCCCACTTGCAGCACTCTAAACACTAGAAGCTGAACCCTGAACCCTAAACCCTAAACCGCTTGCAAGACTCCTTGTTTCGGAGGTTTCTTCACGAAAGCTGGCAAGTGACCACAGGTTGTTGGGATGCCGCCCGTTGCGGCGATCGAACCAGGCATCGCCATGGACTTTCTGAGTACTTAGTAAACAAGTTTAAGTGTAGCTATACCCACTTACAGGCCCCTCAAGAACCCTCATAGGGTTATACTTGTTTTTTCGTGCAGTTAGAACCCTAAACCAAAAAACCATAAACCCCAAACCCTAAACCCAAAACCCTAAACCCTACTTGGGTTACTAACTACCCTGAACCTCCAAGCAGGGTTTTCAGGGTGTGCGCCTCGCCGAGGTCAGGTCTCGAAAGTCTGGGTGCCGCCACCCTCGGCCGAAGATGTTTCGGGGGTTTAGGGTAGGGTTTAGGGTTTAGGGTTTTTGGGTTTTGGGTTTGGGGTTTTGGGTTTAGATGTGTAGGGGTTAGGCTCTGTGTTTGTCAATTCCTGTTGTTTGCATCTTTTCGACTGGAGCTGGAGCTTAAACATCGGGGTTTAGGATTTCGGGCTTTGGAGGGTTTTAGGGTTCTTAGGGTTCTCAAGGTTAAAGCAGGATTCTCAGGTCGACAAATGCCGTTTAGAGTACAGGGTTTGGGGTTGCGGGTTTAGGGTTTAGGCCCTTTGGGGGCTTTAGGGTCCTTAGGGCTCTTAGGTTATTAGGGGTCTTAGGGTTCTTAGGGGTTCTTAGGGGTTCTTAGGGGTTCTTGGGGTTCTTAGGGCACTTTGGGTTCTTAGGGTTGAGGTGGGGTCTCTCAGGTCCAAAATCGCTGCAAGAAGGAACTCTGGCAGTTATAAGCTCCTCCTTAAACCCCCTATGCTGAGGGGTTTAGGGTTTAGGGTTTAGGGTTGAGGGTTTAGGGTTTGTTGAATTAGAAAAGGGATTGTGTATGCAGTATGTACGACTTAATATGACACGGGAAGAGTTATCTTCGATCCCAACACGGCTTCAACCCTGAACCCTAAACCCGAAACCCTCAACCCTAAACTCTTGGATGGTTTCAGAGGCTCCGGCTTTAGCTCAGTCTCTGTGTGCGTAGCCCTTGGGGTTTCTCGGTTTTGCGCCAACCAGGGGCGCAAGGTAGCACATGTCGACCCTTTCAGGGTTTAGGGATTAGGGTTACCCTCAACCCTAAACCTTATACCCTAAACCCTAAACCCTAAACCTTTAGGGCTTAGCATGTGACATATGAGCATTAGCAGCAATAGGGTTACGCGCGCTTTTGACCTGCCGCCAAGCTTTTTGCGCATAGCTTGCAGACACGATCAAGCAGCAACCCCACACATCCCAAGCACCGTATTGAGTTCGAACCCTATATCCTAAACCCAATACCCTAAACCCTAAACCCTAGCTAAACCTAAAGCTTGCGTCACACCTTCAACGCCAGCCGGTTCCTAAACCCCTGAATTGAAAGCTGGCAGCCTGCAAGCCATTTCAAGCCTACCCTAAGCCCTGTAACCCCGAAGCCCCCAGGGGTCCCCTAAACCCTAAGCCCGAACCCTCAAAACCCAAACCCTAAAGCCCTAGAAAGCCTAGACCACCTTGTACCTAAGCCCGCGTGGCTTTGCTTTTCCTGTGCCCCGTCTGCTTGGCGAACGTTCGCCAACAGGAACCTTGTTGAGGCGACGCAGGGTAATCTCAAGCCCTCAAACCCTAAACCCGAAACCAGGCTATGCCCCCTAAACCTTAAACCTTAAACCCTAAACCCTAAACCCTAAACCCTAAACCCTAAACCCTAAACCCTAAACCCTAAACCCTAAACCCTAAGCCCTAAGCCCTAAGCCCTAAGCCCTAAGCCCTAAGCCCTGAACTTAACCCTACCAGGCCCCTTACGCCTTTAATTACCCCTCCAACCCCTGAACCCTTTAGCCCTTTCACCCCACAGGCTGCCACACTCCAAACCCTTGCCGTGCCCTTACTCAGAATAACAATTAGATCCTTAACCGTTTTGGGCTGGATGCTTTCTTTGGAATGTGCTGTAGCTAAGGGCTATTTCGGTTTAGGTGTAGGGTTTAGGGTTCAGGGTTTAGGGTTTAGGGTTTAGGGTTTAGGGTTGTTAGGGTTTAGGGTTTACGGTTTAAGGGTTAAGGGTTTAGGGTTTAGGGTTTAAGGTTTAGTGTTTAGGGTTTAGGGTTTAGGGGCCATGCCCCTGTTCACCCTTTGCCCTCCAGGCCATGGGTGCGCAAGACATGTCGGTGCGGGGCCAGCTCTCTGCGACGCGGCTCCGGCCGAGGCCGCGGTGTGTGCGCCCTGAACCTTGAAACGCTGAACCCGAAGCCAGGGTTTAGGGTTTAGGGTTAGGGTTTAGGGTTTAGGGTTTAGGGGGTTTAGATGTAAGGGTTGGGGTTTTGGGGGGTTTAGGGTTTAGGGTGTAGGCTTGCTAGGTCAAATCAGGAAGTTCAGAAACGGTGGCGAAGTTGTCGTGGGATTGTGCCAACGTATGGCCAGGAAGTAGGGTAGCCATGGCCATGGCGAGTTGGTCTTGTTGTTAGATGTCCTTTTCACCTTAAAAGCTAAACCCTATAGATCCTAAACCCTAAACCTTAGCAACCCTTCCAGCCCTAAAGCCCAAAGCGAGCCAAGGGCTCACTGGGATGCCCCAAACCCTACTACCCTACACCCTAGACCCTAAACCCTAAACCCTAAGCCCTAAACCCTACACCCTAAACCCTAACCCCTAAACCCTAAACCCTCAACCCTAAACCCTAAACCCTAAACCCTAAACCCTAAACCCTCTGGAGGCTCACTGGGATGCTCCGAGCACGCCTCTACCCGCCGGACCGCGTCCATTTCGACGTCGACCATGAGGCGATCATCCGCTACCAGGCCCCTTGGACGCACACACTATTGGTCTAGGGTTTGGGGCTTAGGGTTTGGGGTTTAGGGTTTGGGGTTTAGGGTTTGGGGTTTAGGGTTTGGGTTTAGGGTTTAGGGTTGAGGGTTTAGGGTTTAGGGAATATTTGAGTGGTTATCTACATTAGGGCCCCTTTTGAGGTTCTTTGGGGTTTAGAATCCTAAACCCTATACCCTAAAGCCTACTCCAGGCTAAGCTTGGGCTCCGGGGCAGGTATGATCATCATTCCGTTGGTCTAGGTTTAGGGCTTATAGGGTTTATGGAGTTCAGTGCTCTCCCTTCGCATTGTGTATTTGGTAGAATCACGACCCTGAACCCTAAACCCTAAACCCTAAACCTAAACCCTAAACCCTAAACCCTAAACCTTCAGACCCATATTCGATGATCCCCGCGGGAGCAGCTCCTAAACTTTAGGACTTAGGGTTTTAGTGTTTGGGACAAAGGGTCTAGGGGGGCCTAGAATACCCAACCCCCCAAACCCCCTAAACCCCCAAACCCTAGCCCTAAACCCTAAACCCTAAACCCTAAACCCTAAACCCTAAATCCCCGAACCCCCCCCCCCTCTCAGGTACTGGACAAGCAGCCCTCCAAGAATGGCGACGTTTCCGCCAAGGACGGCTTCTGCCTCCAGAAGTCGCTTGTTTGGAAGCTATAACGGGTTTAGGGTTTAGGGTTTGGGGTTTGGGGTTTAGGGTTTGGGGTTTGGGGTTTAGGGTTTAGGGTTTGGGGTTTAGGGTTTAGGGTTTAGGGTTTGGGGTTTAGGGTTTAGGGTTTAGGGTTTGGGGTTTGGGGTTTGGGGTTTAGGGTTTAGGGGTTTAGGGGTTTCGGGTTTAGGGTTCAGGGTTTAGGGTTTAAGGGTTCAGGGTTTGGGGTTTAGGATTTAGGGTTTAGGGGTTTAGGGGTTTCGGGTTTATGGTTTAGGGTTTAGGGGTTAAGGGTTTGGGGTTTAGGATTTAGGGTTTAGGGTTTGGGGTTTAGGGTTTAGGGTCTAGGGTTTGGGGTTTAGGGTTTCGAGTTTGGGGGTTTAGGGGTTTAGGGGTTTAGGGGTTTAGGGGTTTAGGGGTTTAGGGGTTTAGGGGTTTAGGGTTTTGGGGGTCAGGGTTCAGGGGTGTAGGGGTTTAGGCGTATAACCTTAGTGTGCCCAGCAAAGCCCCAAAACCCGAGCACCTCAAACCCTAAACCCTAAACCCCTAAACCCTAAACCCCTAAACCCCTAAACCCCTAAACCCCTAAACCCCTAAACCCCTAAACCCCTAAACCCCAAACCCTAAACCCCAAACCCCAAACCCCAAACCCCAAACCCTAAACCCTAAACCCCAAACCCTAAACCCTAAACCCTAAACCCTAAACCCCAAACCCCAAACCCTAAACCCTAAACCCCTAAACCCCAAACCCTAAACCCCAAACCCCAAACCCCAAACCCCAAACCCTAAACCCTAAACCCTAAACCCTTGCAGTTTCTTAGCCGAGGTTCGTGAATCCCAACGGCCTCGCCGGGGACCGGCACGACGCGCGACAGCCACCCAGATCTGCAACAAGAGGGCTTCAGGGCTACATTGGTTAGATGCGTAGGGTTTAGGGTTTTTGGGGTTTCGGGATTTAGGGTTTAGGGTTTAGGGCTACTTGGCTTTTATATGGGGTTTTGGGGTTTGGGTTTTAGGGTTTCGGGGTTTTGGGTGTACGGTTTGGAGTTTAGCATGTATGTGCTGTCTGCGTAGTATTATAGTTTTTGTTTGCTTTCGAGGGGAGGGGCCGGGGGGGGCGGGGGATGGGGTCGCGACTCAGTTCTTCGGGTAATTTTCAGATTTACAGGGTCCTGAACTCCTGAGCGCAGGCAGTGAGGGAGGGGCCCCAGACAGGACCCTTGGACACGTTTCAAGGCCTTTCCTTGGGACAAGTTGCTCCCTGGCGCAGGGGTTGGGGGTTGCTCTGATGATTGCCGAAAAGTGAGAAAGGGTGGCTTGGCCTGATAAACCTGGAAACCTGAACTCCAAACACGAAAGAAATGCAAAACTCCAGGCTGCAGCCTTCTGTTTCCACAAACCTAAACCAACAACCTTTCCCCCAAGCAGGTGCACCCTTTACACTTTTTTGGTTGGGTTCGTTCCGTATTTTTAGCCTAAGCACGAATCCCTAAACGCAAAGCCCAAAAACCAAAACCGGGTGCCCTTGTTGTAATTTGGTTCCTAAACCCTAAACCCTATACCCTAAACCGTAAACCCTAAATTCTAAACCCTAAACCCTAAACCCTGAACCCTTAACCCTGAACCCTGAACCCTGAACCCTAAACCCTAAACCCTAAACCCACTTAGCTAGCAAGTTGCCGGCAAGGTACTTCACCTCCTACCTGAACCAGTGTGGCAAAGCTGCAGGCATCGGGCTTATGAGCCCGAATGAGGGTTTAGGGTTCAGGGTTTAGGGTTCCTGAAAAACCTGAAACCTTGTAGCCTGGACCCCCAAAATCCTTTGAACTCTGAAGGCCCCCCCCCCCCCCAAAAAAATAAAAAAAACAGGGGCCAAAGGAGGTCAGGGACCATATTCAGGGCCCATGAATCTACCCTTAGCAGGGGCAGAAGCCCCAAGTAGGCGACCTCAACTTCTGGACAAGAAGGTTTCAGAACCAAGAGCCTGGGCTTCAGGACACCTGTACGCCATTCGTTGTATCCTAAAAGCCCTTAACCCGAAACCCGAAAACCCCGAAAACCCGAAAACCCCGAAACCCTAAACCCTAGGGTCTGGGTCGCAACTTGCGGTTTAAAAATCTTCGACTCGGGAAGATGGAGCCACTTGTCTTGGCGAACCCCTTCCTCTGAGAGGACAGGAAAGAAGCAGAGCGCAGACCATCGCGGCCCCCACATCCCCTGAGTAGAAGCCCGAAACCCCAAACCCTGTTTAGGGCTTAGGGTTTAGGGTTTGGGGTTTAGGGTTTAGGGTTTAGGGTTTTGGGTTTTGGGTTTTGGGGTTGGTTGGAAACCTCAACCAACCAAATGGGCCAAAGGGTACCAGTGGGCTACCAAGCCTCAACCCTAAGCCCGAATTAAACCCCAAACGCTAAACCCTCAACCCAAACTCTAAACCCCAAAACAGGTCTCCACGCCTAAGCAACAGAAAAGTGACGTTCCACCAAAATAGCCATAAACCCGCGCTTTGGGGTTCAGGGTTTAGGTTTCAGGGGGTTTAGGGGTTGAGGGGTTTAGGGTTCAGGGTTCGAGGGATTAGGGGTTGAGGGGTGAAGGGCTTGGGGTTAAAAAGCAAGATCTTTCACGCCTGAGCGGACGGCGCTGGATGATGCTCGAGTCATTCTGTGAGACATGCACCGCAACATCGCCAGGGGCGAGCCAGAATCCGCCATCATGCGGAATAGGGTTTAGGGTTGAGGGCTTTGGCCTTATCATCGCATGGTTCCTAGGCTACCAGGTGTGAAGACCTGTCTTTTTTTGGGGGGAACACGAACTGAAGCTTTTGGCGGGTTTGTTCGCATGTACTTCCAAGTTCGTAGTAGCTTGAGGCATATATGAGTATGACTTGAAGTGCCGAGCGCTTCAGAGCGGAACAGGGCTGCAAAACCCTGAACCTCAACACCTGTATCCCCTTAGGTTCAAGGTTTCGGGTTTAGGGTTTAGGGTTTAGATTTGAGGCTGTAAGTTTAATGGAGTATCTTCACCGTTGTTTCTGTTTTGCAGGGGGCTCGCGGCAGGAGATGATATGGACAGACAAAGCATCGCAGACTTCATCTACGACACGACTGCTGGGAAGGACGCCTTGAGACCCCTAAAGCCCAAAGCCTAAAGCTTAAACCCTAAACCCTAAACCCTAAACCCTAAACCCTAAACCCTAAACCCTAAACCCTAAACCCTAAACCCAATGGTTTAGGGTTCGGGTTTAGGGCCGTCCAGGGCTTCGGGTTCAGATTCTAGGGAGAAGGCATGATCAACTTAGCCCAAGGGCCGACCAAGCTTGGGGCTAGGCTCTGGGTGGCGGGTTTAGGGTTTAGGGTTTAGTTTAGGGTTTTGGGTGTTGGGTTTAGGGTTCAGGGCTATAAAGACGGACCCCTAGAAAGGACTCTTAACCTTTTTTTTCCGTATACGCCCGTATAACCCTCATATATACCACATGTAGCACATACAACTTGCCATTACTGGTTCGGAGGTTGCTGGTGTAACCGCCTCAATAGAGGCCGCCAAAGGCTTGTTGGCCTAATTGACAACGACCCCCCTTTCAGATGTTCATGAAGGTTTTTCTTCGGAAACCTAATGCCTAAACCCGGAACCCTGAACCCTGAACGCTAAACCCTCCCTTACTAAGACGCCCACTCCTACCCCGACGTGCTTTTAGACTGTGAATCCCTTATCAACCCTATAGACAGATCAAACAAGTGAATCCCTTATCAACCCTATACACAGATCAAACAAAACAGGGCATGCTTTCATGCGCGCTGCTTTTGTAACCCTAAACCCTAAACCCCAAGCCCTAAACCCTAAACCAGTACTGTTTTGACGGAAGCCTTTTGCTTAGCACGCTTGGCTCAAAGTTGTTTCGGACGTGTTTGGTGCCGACCCAACCCGCTTCCTCCGGAGGGTTTAGGGCAGTCTAGGGCTTAGGGCTTAGGGCTTAGGGCTTAGGGCTTAGGGCTTAGGGCTTAGGGCTTAGGGCTTAGGGCTTAGGGCTTAGGGCTTAGGGCTTAGGGCTTAGGGCTTAGGGCTTAGGGTTTGGGATCCCCAAACCCAACACCTAAGCCCGAAGCGCGCAAAGCCACAGAGGCCAGAGATCCCCGAACCGGCCCGAATATTGAACTCAGAAAGAGGAGAGATCCCCAAAACCCTAAGCCCTTAAACCCTAAACCCTATATAACCCTTAACCCTTAACCCTAAACCCTAAACCCTAAACCCTAAAAACCCTAAAAACCCTAAAACACCCAAACCTCCAAACCCTGAACCGGAGACTTCCGAACCATGAACCACACTTCAGTCCTTCAGGGAAAGGAGATGGATGAGGGCGACCAATTCACAGCCGTCCAGCAGGCAGTGTGGGGTTTAATCAGGGTTTAGGGTTTAGGGTTTAGGGATTGCTACGCAGGGTTCGGCAAGGAATGCGCGACTTGGAGGTTTGAGGGCTTTGGGTGTTGCCTAGACTGAAAGCTGAGGGTTTGGCGTAAAAAGCCAATGACCATTTTCAATATTTAGGGTTTAGCGTCTAGGGGTTTAGGGTTTAGGGACGTGTGCTCGGGATATGTTCATCCTGTTATTCTAGGCGTATTTTAAGGGCATGGGTTTTCAGGTCTATGAGATTTTGTTTATGGGATCTGCCAGTAGCGGGTTTAGGGTTTAGGGTCTGTTTTGGTTGTGCACCCCAAAATTGGGTGCGAAACCGACACATGCCAATCTGTCTCTAGGTAATCCCCTTTATGCCAAATCTCCCAATTTGGCACCCATTTTGGGAGACTTATATAAATATTTCTAGATCTCCACATATAGTTATGCATCTACAGGATTCATCTTCATGTTGTTCCCATTCTAGTGCAGTCCTGCTGAGGGGCAACCCCAAGACCCAAGCCCAACACCCCAAAGCCTGAACCCTAAACCCTAAACCCCACACCCTAAACCCTAAACCCTATACCCTAAACCCCACACCCTAAACCCGAAACCCCAATCCCTAACTCAGCGCCGCCCCAGGTGATCCTCACCATCACCAAGCAGGACTTCCAGCGCCTGCGCGGACTTACGCAGAAGCTGATGAGGTGGGAGAAAAGCTCTGGGTTTAGGGTTTAGATTTTAGGGTTTACGGTTCAGGGTTTAGGGTTTAGTGTTTAGGGTCCCTACTGTACTACTTGGAGGTTCAGGGCACATAGTAACCCAATTCTAACTGTACTGATAACCCACTTATCATCCCATTTTAAGGGCGTACAAGTGCAGGTTGTAACTGCTCTTATAATTGTGTTATAAGTGCCCCCTGAACCTCCAAGCAGGGCTTAGAGTGAAGGGTTTGGGGTTTCAGGGTTTGGGGTGTAGTGTTGTAGGGTTGTTGGCGTATTGAGAGTTTAGGGTTTTAGGGGCTTGGGGGTTTAAGTTTTGGGCTTCAAGGCTCAGGGATTAGAAAAGTAGAGTTTGGGTTCCTTAAGAACCCAAGACATGCTTTTTTGTAGGGTATCTAAGGATCCTAGAAGGTGTTACAGTGACCTACTAAAAGTAGGTTTTGGGTTCTTAAGGGAGGGTTTAGGAACCCTGAGCCTTATACCCTAAACCCTAAACCCCAAAACCCTAAACCCTAAACCCCATTCTCCAGGGTGAGGGGTTCTAACTCGGGGTGTGATTTGGTTTAGGGTTTAGGGTTTAGGGTTTAGGGTTTAGGGTTTAGGGTTTAGGGTTTAGGGTTTAGGGTTTAGGGTTTAGGGTTTAGGGTTTAGGGTTTAGGGTTTAGTTTAGGGTTTAGGGTTTAGGGCGAGGGTCTTAAAATCCATGGGTGGCTTGAAGTACTTAAGTACTGAAAAGAACCTCGAGTCGGGTGTTAGGGTGTGAGAACTGTTTTGGGTTTTAGAGGGTTTAGGGTTAAGGGTTTTAGGGTTTAGGGTTTCAGGGTTTAGGGTTTTAGGGTTTTCGGGGTTTTCGGGTTTTAGGGTTTCAGGCTTTGGGAAGATCCCAAAGCCTGAACCCTACGGCTCCACGGATTCATTTGTGCGGGCCATTTGGGCGCCAAGACGTTTTGTAATTCTTATCCGTCTCTTTCTTCCTTCACATACTAAATTTTGAAGACCGTGAGATTATGATTATGGTTACTACTGTCCATACTGTTTCTGTAAGCTTTTAGGAGGTATGTTGGGCCTAAGGACTACTTATCGTACCACCCTAAACCCTAAACCCTAAACCCTAAACCCTAAACCCTAAACCCTAAACCCCCTATGCTTGTTGTTTTGGGAGAGTGAGTGATTCGGAACAGCTGCTAAATCCTCAAGGTACCTTCTGCCCCAGCCTACGTAGGGCCCATTGCCAACGCCACTTGCCACCAGGGATAGGGTGAAAGCTTTGGGGTTTGTAGGCTTAGGGTTCAGGGGTTAGGCCCCAGACCCAAATGGGTTGCGTTATGGTTCCTATACCATTCTGCAAGTATACTAATATCATCACCCCCCCCCCCCCCCCCCCCCCCCCCCAAACCAACAAAAACTATTCCAACTAGTAAGGCCCCTTTATCCCACGTCTTCCTCATGTAGTTTGGCGTACGCGTCTAACTGCAGCACTACAAAATTCTTAAGCCCTAAACCCCAAAAAACCCCGAAACCTCATCAACCCTAACTTGAAACCCCATCAACCCCCATGGACCCCATAAACCCTAAACCCTAAACGCTAAACCCTAAACCCTAAACCCCATAAGCCCTCAACCCCACATCCCGAATCCGGCACCACACCCAGTCTAAGAGGATCCCAAAAGTAGAAGCCCCAAATCGTCCCCTAATACTAGTATTGCGTCATTCTTGGCGACCCCTAAGCCCTAAACCCTAAACCCCAAACCCTAAACCCCAAACCCTAAACCCCAAACCCAAATCCTAAACCCTTAAGGGGATCTACTTTTGGGTCCTCCCTGGGCGTCTGTGGCAGGTACGACCGCTTTCCAACGCAGGATGAGAAGTCCAAGGCCAAGAAGGGGCCGCAGACGGAGATGGAGTACGAGCCGCTTGGCCTGATATGCTTGATATGGGGTTTAGGGTTTAGGGTTTAGGGTTTAGTGTTTACGGTTTAGGGTTTAGGGCTTAGCGTTTAGCGTTTAGCGTTTAGAGTTTAGGATTTAGGGTTTAGGATTTAGGGCTTAGGGTTTAGGGTGTAGGGTTCAGGCTAACCCAAAGGCCCCAGGGACTGTCATTTGAGCGTTTTTGTTGGCCCGAAGGCCTTCTCATATATGGTTTTCGGGCTGTTGTGCCAATTCGGTGTAAGCGCTTCCCACATATAGGACGTGCCCTTGGAGGATACCATTTGATACCATGATGGGCATAAAAAGAAGACCCCTGTTCGGGAAACCCGGCTAAACTGCCCTAAACCCCTACAAGCACGAAGGCCCTAAACCCCTACAGACCCTAAACCTTAAGCCCTAAACCCTAAAACATAGACCCCTACAGAAAGCCCTGAACCACCGTACCAGAGGTTCGGCTCAGAGCTCGACTTCGTCTACCCCTTGGAGGCTTCGGGGGAACTCCGTCAAGAGGGTTTAGGGGTTGAGGGTTGAGGGGTTTAGGGGTTTAGGGGTTTAGGGGTTTAGGGGTTTAGGGGTTTAGGGGGTTTCGGGGTTTCGGGGTTTAGGGGTTTAGGGGTTTAGGGGTTTAGGGGTTTAGGGGTTTAGGGGTTTAGGGGTTTAGGGTTTAGGGTTTAGGGTCTAGAATCCCCATTAAGGACTGTGAGTAGAATCCCAAGCTTGGGGTTCAGGGCTGGTCTCAGGGCTTCGAACCTAAGGATGCTGGAGTTTCACGGTTTAGGGCCTGATTTCCTAGGGTTTAGGGTTTAGGGTTTAGGGTTTAGGGTTTAGGGTTTAGGGTTTAGGGTTTGGGCCTGATGTCCTTTCAGGGAGATGATTCACCTAAACCCTCAGCACCCACACCCTGCACCCTAAACCCTAAATTGCATTCCCCTAAACCCTAAACTCTAAACCCTAACTCCTAACCCTCAAACCCTAAACCCGAAACCCTAAACCCTAAGAGTTGTGGAGGCGGACTCTTCGGCCTGGCGGCCCACCGCTGAGGCGCACCTTTCGAAAGGCTTCGGGTTTAGGGTTCAGGGTTCAGGGCTGAGGGTTTAGGGTTTAGGGTTTAGGGTTTAGGGTTTGTTTTCTATAGGGTTCAGGGTGTCTTGAGGGTCCAGTGTTTTGGAGTTCTTGTGGTTTCTGGAGCTTGAGATTGGCTGGTTTAGGGGTTTGAGAGAGTTTTAGGGTTCAGGCTTTCTGGCTTTGGGGAGGTTTGGGGTTTAGGGTTTTAGGGTTTAGGGTTTGAGGGTTTAGGGTTTAGGGTTTAGGGGTGCTTGCAGGGTTAGGAGGCTCGAATCCACTAAGCCCCAGGTCTCAGGCGGTCTGCAGCCCACGGTAACCTGTTTCCTGTTTCTTAAACCCGAAACCCTAAACCTCAAGCCCCTAAGCCCCTATACACCCTAAACTCTAAACCCTGAACCCTAAACCCTAAACCCTCAACCCTAAACCCTAAACCCTAAATCCTAAACTTTACGAACCCCAAGTCTCTACCAGGAGCCGGAAAAGGAGTCTGTTGAGCAGCTCTTCTTCCATCGCGCCAAGGTGGCGCAAAAGCCAGGGGAGTTCAAGGGTGTAGGGTTCAGTTTGGGGTTAGGGTTCGGGGTTTAGGGTTTGGGGTTTAGGGCTTAAGGCTTGGGGTTTAGCGTTTAGGGTTTAGGGTTTATGGTTTAAGGCTTAGGGCGTAAGGCTTGGAGCTTGGGGTTTCGAGGGGTGTTTAGAGCTTCGGGTGCTCAAGGAGAAGCTCGGAAGCCCCAGAATGCTGGGTGAAGACAGTTTTTTGTTTTTCAGTCCGGCTTCAGTAAAGGCTTGAGAGTTTTAGGGTTTAGGGTGCAGTCTTTAGGGGCCCCTTAAGGTTTAGGGTTCACACGCCCTAAAACCCCAAACCCTAAACCCTAAATCCTAAACCCTAAACCCCAAACCCTAAACCCCACACCCTAAACCCTAAACCCTAAACCCTAAACCCTAAACCCTAAACCCTAAACCCTAAACCCTAAACCCTAAACCCTAAACCCTAAACCCTAAACCCTAAACCTCCGCCGGCTGGAGGAGCTGATTCGAGGCAGCGGCTCCTCTGCGCGGCTCCTAAACTCCTTTGAAGGGTTTAGGGTTTAGGGTTTCGGGTTTAGGGTTTAGGGTTTAGGGTTTAGGGCCTAGGGTTTAGGGTTTAGGGTTTTGAGGGTTTTGAGGGTTTAGGGTTTATAGGGCTAGGGTTTACAGGGATTTTAGGGTTGAGGATCTATAGGGTTTAAGGGGTTCAGGGTTGAGAGTTTAGGGTTTAGGGCTTCTAGGGTTTTGGAGTCTGAGTGCCACGACCAGTCTGAGGGAAGGTTGAGGCTTGAGAGCTAACGTCTAAGTCGCATTGGGATCCCGAATAGAATGAAAGGCGGAACCTCTAAACCCTAAACCCTAAATCTCGTTCCTCGCTGCCACGGACACCGCAATGGCCCTGGAAGCAGCAAGTTTTCAGCCGGAGCATTTCGAGGCTGAGAGTGATGCGAGTATGGATAGCATGGAAACGAAATTTGCACCGCGCTGAAGCACTAAAACGAACAAGCAGAAGGGGAGAGGAAAAGTTATCAAGCAGCTTCGACGGGCTTTGCTGAGAGCAATGCCACAAAGGACTGAGGAAATCAAGCGTGCATCGAAGAGCTCGAAAGCCTCAGGGACTCGCACAGGAGTCAGCAGGTCCCGGTGCAGGCGGTCTCGGTTCAGCAGAACCGTACTCTACCAGCGTACTTTCAGCCTTAGTTGTATCCACCCATCAACCCCAAACAAACCTTAAACGTCTCAAAGACCTAAATCCTGAACCCCAAACCATGCACCCTGATCATGGCCCAGCCCACAATCCTAAACCCAAGATTTCCTGAACCATTCAGACCTTCAACCCCAAAACCCTTCACAGCCTAAACCCTGAACCCTTTTAAGCCCAGCCCCTAAAGCCCTGAACCCTAAGCACTTTAGAGCCTGAAAGCCCGAAACCCTAAACCCTAAACCCTAAACCCTAAACCCTAAACCCTGTAGAGCCTCAACCCAGAGCCTCTCTCGCCGAGGCCCCGCCGAAGGCCAAGCCCAGCAAAGTCGAGAGGCGGAAGGACCCGGCTTTTGGGTTTAGGGTTTAGGGTTTAGGGTTTAGGGTTTAGGGTTTAGGGTTTAGGGTTTAGGGTTTAGGGTTAGGGGTTGAGGGTTTAGAGTTCAGGTTTTGGGGGTTTAGGGTTTGGGGGTTTCCGGTTTGGGGGTTTGGTGGCTTAGGGTTTAGGGTTTAGGGGTCTCGGGTTTAGGGTTTCGGGTCCAGGGTTTGGGGCTTAGGGTTTGGGGTTTAGGGTTTAGGGTTTAGGGTGTGGGGGGAGTTTTGGGTTTGGGGGTTTAGGGGGTTTAGAGGTGCAGGAATATTCGGGGGCAGGACTTATGTGTTTTTTTGATTCAGGCGGTGTAGGGCTGAAGTTTTTTGGGGGGTAGGGTTTTAGGGTTTAGGGTTTAGGGTGGGTTCGAGTTCGGGTTTAGGGTTTAGGCTTGAGGGCTTAAGGGTTTTAGGCTCTAGAAGGGTTTAGGGTTCAGGGTTAGGCTCTGAAGGGTTTTGGGGTTTAGGGTCCGAAGGGTTGAGGATGCATTGAGTTTAGGATTTTGGGCTGAGGGTTGAGGATTGGCCAGCTTAGTGTTCAGGGTTGGGGGCTTCATCTTTAGTCGCCTGGGGGATTTAGGGCTTAGGGTTTAGGGTTAAGGGTTTAGGGTTTTAGGGTTTAGGGTTTAGGGTTTAGGGTTTAGGGTGTAGGGTTTAGGGTTTAGGGTTTAGGGTTTAGGGTTTAGGGTTTAGGTGTTCTGCTGAAGGGAGGGGGGGGGGGGCAAGGTATGTTCTACACCAGCCGCTACAGCCTACACCCCTAAACTACAAATTCTGAAGTCTCTGATCACAAAGCTGCCAAGGCCCAGCCGCCGTCACCCGTGCCGAAACGGGTGCCAACGCCCAAGGGCAAGGCGGCGTGCAAGCCGAAGCCCCAGCCGCCGGCGCCGAAGCCCAAGCCGCCACGCCGAAGCACAAGCCGCCGGCGCCGAAGCACAAGCCGCCGGTGCAGACCTAACACCCTAACACCCCAAAACCCTAAAACCCTAAAACCCTAAAACCCGAAAACCCGAAAACCCTAAAACCCTAAAACCCTAACACCCCAAAACCCGAAAACCCTAAAACCCGAAAACCCTAAAACCCGAAAACCCTAAAACCCGAAAACCCTAAAACCCTAAAACCCCTAAAACCCTAAACCCTAAACCCTAAACCCTAAACCCTAAACCCTAAACTCTAAACCGAAGCTTGCCTTGATGCAAAGGAGCTCATTTGGTTTCGAACTGCCTGCGAAGAGCATCTAACACGGCAGGCTGCAGGAGAGCTTCTGGGGAGGGGCTTGTGGGTTTGAGGGTTTAGGGCTTGGGGAGGATGAGGGGTTTAGGGTTTAGGGTTTAGGGTTTAGGGTTTAGGGTTTAGGGTTTAGGGTTTAGGGTTTAGGGTTTAGGGTTTAGGGTTTAGGGTTTAGGGGTTTAGGCTTCAAGCCTCCTTTCTCTCCAGCTCGACTGATCACTTCCAGAGATCCTACAAAGGGTTGATGGGCTTTGCCGTCGCGGACCCTCTTTCTTCCAAGCCCACCGCGGGTTTAGGGTTTAGGGTTTAGGGTTTAGGGTTTAGGGTTTAGGGTTTAGGGTTTAGGGTTTAGGGTTTAGGGGTTAGGGTTTAGGGTTTAGGGTTTAGGGTTTAGGGCAGTAGGATCATCTTGAGCGCGTCTGACCGACAAGTCCTAAACTTTCTCTCATACTTTCTCCATCTCGTGGTCCCGTTTTGGGCTCGCCTAAAAAAGCGTCACCCTGCTAGCACGGACCCCCCCAAAACGGAACCTGAATACCCTAAACCCTAAACCCTAAACCCTAAACCCTAAACCCCAGAAGGAGACGCCCTAGCTATGATGCTAAGCCCAGTTCTCACATCCAATCCGCCCTCCCCTTCTTGCGCTTGTGAAGCCATTTCTCAACCTGTCACGTATCACAAGCTTTGTAGAACTCCAAACACAAACCGCCCCCGCCCCAACAATCCTGAACACATCCCAGCATCGCAACCACTTGCCAAGAGCCACGGCGAGTCCCATACACAATCCCAGAACCCTAAACCCTAAACCCTAAACCCTAAACCCTAAACCCTAAACCCTAACCCAGGTCGTTCCAGCTTGCGCGCACTCAGGGTTAAATGCCTTTGCTCTTTTTGATGCCTGGGTCTCTCTCCAGAGTTTTGGTTTACAGACAGTTCTTGTCCGACCTACCCGACGAACCATTCGTGGAAGTCGTCTCTGTAAAGCAAGCCGAGCAGGCCGGCAAGGCCAAGTCTCCAGATAGAGAACAAGTTCAACAAGGCGTTGGAGGGGTATGCGGACACAGCCGTGTGGTGGGACATGGCCTACCCCTCACGGCGTAATTGTCCGAGAGCCGGAACATGATCGCACCAGCTGGCCAACCTCGTGCGGCACGGAGGGTCCCAAACCACCATAGATTTAGGGTTTAGGGTTATCAGCACAGGGTTTTCGTGGGGTTACTCTGGTGTATGTATATAGGGGCCCGAAGGGAACACCATCAGTACTTATTCCGACCCCCATATGTTCCCATTCGCAACATGTCCAACGACAAGAACGTATCCAAACCACATGCACATAGTTCAACCAGTCGCCAACAGAATGCCACCCAACCGCAATCCCAAATCTTAGTAGCTGAATGAGTACAATTTACACTTGTTGGGATACTATAATTTTCTATAGAACTGAAAGTGTACACTTTCTGGGGGCTTATGAACTCAGCAAGTACCCCTAAACCCTAAACCCTAAACCCTAAACCCTTATAAACCCTTATAAACCCTTATAAACCCTAAACCCTAAACCCTAAACCCTAAACCCTAAACCCTAAACCCTAAACCCTAAACCCTAAACCCTAAACCCCGAACGGACTGCCATTTTTCGGAAGCCCGGTGGCTTGCTAGTTGTCTTGAACCTAATTAAGCCCCGAACTCTGAAACCCATAACCTTAAACCCTAGACCCTAAACCCTAGACCCCTAAACCCTAAACCCTAAGACCCTAAACTTGATCCCGACAACCTGAACCCCAAAGATGTTCCAGTAGGAAGTTCATCCAGTGGCGGCGGTAGCGCATCCATGACGGTCTCTTGCAGGAACTTTGTGGGGCTTGGGGTTTACGTGGATTAGGGCTTGTAGGGTTTATGAGGGTTGGGGCTCGAGGGTTTGAGGGTTTAGGGGTTTATAGGGACTTGGCTTTAATGATAGGGCTTGTGAGGTTTGGGCCTTTAGGGCTCTATAAAGTTTAGGTTTTTAGGGTTTAGGGTTCAGGGTTTGGGGCTGAAAGTAAGGTCTAGATCTAAGGGAACTCACGTGGTCCCTCAACATGGTTCCTGAATACGATCGCCTCCCTTTTTTGAAGGGCCCTGAGCTCTGAAGTATAGGCAGGCCCTTGGGTTTTCTAGGCACATAAGTAAGGGGTATGCAAGGGTTTCCCAAGGGCCCAAATTAAGAGACAATGTAACTACCCTAAGATTATAGGGTCTAGGTGTTGGGGTTGAGGGTTCCACACCCGGGTTCCGGATTCCCAGCCTGCAGGCAACAGTCGGTTTAAAGCAGAAAAGGGCTGCGGGCTTCGGGCTTAGGGCTTCTAGGGTTTAGGGCTTAGGGGGATTTCGGATCAAGGCTTAGGCTGTTTTAAAGTTTTGGAGCATACTAGGGCCGCAAGCACCCCAGATGATACTCTAAGTATCCCCCTTCTTGAAGGTACGCTTCAAGCTTGATACTCTGATGACTACATGTTCATGGTGTCCAGAGACAAGTGGCAAGATGAAGTCAACATCCCTGGTTGATGATTTCATTCAAGTGCCTACCTGGCGATGAACGTCGTTGGCATGCTATGAACGAGCTGGAGGACCTGAGACGAGTATGAGGCGTGGAGGAGCACAACCCTCATGAGAATTCTTTCCTCCTCCTGCTTCAAGGTGAAGTACGAGGCCGACTCCGGGGAGCTTGCGCAGGAGTCACTGCTCACTGCCGAGTCGCCGCCAGCAGCGAGAAGATCAGCAAGGGCTGGGTGGATATGGCCACGTCTTTCATGTCTCGGAGGTGGGTTATTCCCCAGGCCTGGGTTTTGCCCAACGTTGATTCTGGCTCCGTTTTGTGCGCAGCGCGAGACCGTGCAACGTGCGCAACACTTATACTGGCTCCGTTTTTTGCGCGCAACACGTTCCGTCTAGCGTGACATCTATACATATATACACATATACATATATATATATATCATGAATAATTTGGCTTGAAAGCCATTCGGAATGGCTGAGGCTCACGGCCCTCCCAAACGCCCCTTGTAAGCCCTAGCTAACACCATGCATGTTCCCAGGGCGTGCGCACCCGTCCCCCCAAAAAAAACAGCATCGTGAATGCATGTAATTCCCCAAAGTCCTACAGCCCAAAGCCCCTTCGAATGCCTCAGACCCTATAAAACCTAAACCCCAGACAGTAACCCTTAGACCCTACAGCCCGGACTCAGACCCTGAACCCTAATGGCCAGAGGCCTGTGGCCCTGAACCCTGAACCCTGAACCCTAAACCCTAATCCCAAAAAGGCATCGCCAGAGAACCCCTAAGGTAGAAGAGCTGATGGGGCAGCTACTTGAAACGTGGGCGCGGCGCGTTTCTGCTTTTGTCTTTCTTCTGGTTTAGGGTTTCGGGCTGACATTGGGTTTAGGGGAAGCTCCCTGAACCCTACACCCTAAATCCTAAACCCTAAACCCTAAACCCTAAACCCTAAACCCTAGACCCTAACCACTCTCTGTTGAGATCCCAGCAGGGTCTGTTCTTCAATAGGGAGTTTTTAGGAGGGTCCCCCCCGCAAAGCCCATGTATGTTTTCCTCTTTATGGCTTCGCGACGAGGAGTCAACACATTCCCAGCCACCCCTGGCCTTAGACCTGAAAGAACTCCTTAAAGCCTAAACCCTGAAATGTTCCCTTATACTAATACTAAGAGCTCCTTAACAGGGATTATAGTAGGGGGTACTATAATCCCCATTAAGGACTGTTAGTATAAGGGGGAACATCCCAACCTGAACCCGAAACCCTCTTCTTGGTATGGCTTGGTGGCCCACGAGTGTGGTTTGGAAGCTAACCCCCGAACCCCTCAACCTTTAAGCCCGAAACTCCGAGCATCCTCAACCCCTCAACCCTAAGCCCCAAACGCTTTTGTAGACATGAACCCACCTCCATGCAATGATTGAAGCTGCATGAGGGCCCATCTTCGCCTTTCCCCATTCAATATCCTCCCAAGCCTTCGCCATGTACCCTAAACCCTAAACCCCAAGCCAGCTTTCCTAAACCCTAAACGCCAAGCCAGCTACCCTGAGCCCTAAACCAAACCCTATACCCTTAGGCCTTACCTGAAATGTGTCTGCCCCACTGTCCCTGACCATGACAGGTTAGACAAGGGCGAGGACTGGGTGGCTGAACCCCTGAACCAGACAGGGTTTAGTGCTTAGGTTTCAGGGTTCTGGGTTTTATTCGAGTTGGTTTGGGGACAAATCTTCAAATGCATGGTCCTCGACATCCCGATATAATCCTGCTTACCCATAGATTTTTGTTGTAGGGCCCCCAAACCCAAAACCCGAAGCCCTAGAACCAACTAAGCCGTACTTCCAGAGACGACAGCAAACACCGAAGCCACAACTTCTGTTATAAACCCATCGGAGCCCCCTAAACCCTAAACCCTAAACCCTAAACCCTGATATCCCAAAAAGGGCCTTCAGATCAACCCCCCCGACCACCGCTTCAACGCCCTAGAGCACCGCCCTAGAGCCACAGAAGCCCTCAGGACTAAGATGCCCTAAACCCGAAGATTCTGCATTGCCTCACTTAAGAATCCTCTAAAGCATAGCATACCCTTTGCAGTCAAGCATACCCAACGCTGCAACCATGGGATGGAACCTTCTCAGATTCTTGTGTAGTTTCAGTGGGGTTGTCTTCAACAAGCATACTGCTCAAGATCTGACTCCGCTGGGCAGCTGGACCAGCGTCTGGTCATGGGAAGGTTAAGTCCTCCAGGGGACACTTGGAGGTTCAGGGTACGTATGACCCAACTATACGTGTAGTTCTATTCCACGTAGAAGCCCCTTAAGTACGCTAGTAGGGTTATCTTAGTGCTGAATGAGTACACTTCACATGTTTGGGATACGATCATCCCCTTTAGAACTGAAAGTGTGCACTTTTGGAGGGCTTCTAGGGTTTAGGGTTTAGGGTTTAGGGTTTAGGGTTTAGGAACTCAGCCACTAAGTTAGGATAAGTGCAGTTCGAGTTGGGTTACTAAGTACCCTGAACCTCCAAGCGGTCTTCAGCATTTTTCTTCCGTGAGGATGCCGATCAGGGTGCTCTGATTGATCTCCTCGGATTCGAGGCTGCGAGGGCTTCAGGGTGTCAGGGGCCGTTTTGGTAGACCAGTGCACTGTTTTTTGGGGTTCTGGGTTCCCTTAGAAAGCAATAGCAACCTAAAAGGGGATACCCTTATTCCACTAAGTTTACTGGGCCACCCAGCTTGTTGGGGGATTGCGACTCTCGAAACTTTTCTGCTTAAGGGGGGTGTCGGGTATAGGGATTTTGCCTTGTAGGATCCGAAGCCTAAGCCCCCAAACCCAGAAACCCCAAATCTTATCCCCCAGAGCCCTGAAAACCCCAACGGGCCTGAAAACACCTTGTATGAACCCCTGAGCAAGACGCTATGCCTAAAGCCCCCCAACGCTCCCCTCTAAACCCTACAAAACCCTAAACCCCGAACTCCTAAACCCTAAGCCCTCAGCCCTCAGCCCTAAGCCCTAAACCCTAAACCCGAAACCCTAAACCCTAAACCCTAAACCCTAAACCCTAAACCCTAAACCCTAAACCCTAAACCCTAAACCCTAAACCCTAAACCCCAAGCCAAGCTCTTGAGGCCTTCGAGTTCGTCGGTCAGCTCATCGACCGGCGTGCCAGCATCCTCGAGGACTTCCGAAGCTAGTTCTCTAAACTAGAGTTTGGGGTTAGAGTTTAGGGTTTAGGGTTTAGGGTTTAGGGTTTAGGGTTTAGGGTTTGGGGTTTGGGGTTTGGGGGTTTGGGGTTTGGGGTTTGGGGTTTAGGGTTTGGGGTTTGGGGTTTGGGGTTTAGGGTTTGGGGTTTAGGGTTTGGGGTTTGGGGTTTAGGGTTTGGGGTTTGGGGTTTGGGGTTTAGGGTTTGGGGTTTGGGGTTTAGGGTTTGGGGTTTGGGGTTTAGGGTTTAGGGTTTGGGGTTTGGGGTTTGGGGTTTAGGGTTTAGGGTTTAGGGTTTAGGGTTTGGGGTGTGGGGTTTGGGGTTTAGGGTTTAGGGTGGGGGTTTATAGTCCACGGGCCCAAGGGACACGGTTTTCCCCCTCAACAGCATTGTCGTACGGCGATCACTTCTCAGCTAGTTCTCTAAACCAGAGTTTGGGGTTTAGGGTTTGGGGGATTGGGGGTTGGGTTTTTGTTTTAAAGGGTGCCAGCTTATCATGGGTACCCAGAAAGGGACCCTCGTGTAGGAAACTACCCATATCTTGGGGGAGATTTTGGGAGGTTTTGGAGGTCTTTTGGTTATGGAAACCTCTTTGGGTGTTTTGGAGCGTTTTGGGCTGGAGGGCCCCATGGGTGCCAGTTAGGGCTTAGGGTTTAGGGTTTAGGGTTTAGGGTTTAGGGTTTAGGGTTTAGGGTTTAGGGTTTAGGGTTTAGGGTTTACATTAGGGTTTCGTTTTTCGGGTATAGCAAGGACCCAGAGTAGGCCCTTGTTCACTTGTTTAGGGTATGGGTTCCCTTATAAACCCCCCTTGGTGTAGGTATAGCCAATTTATAAGCCCCTTTAAGCAACTGGTTGAAGTTACACTTTGTGGTCTTTCGATTTTTGGTGGGGGGGGGGGGAGGACCTCAAACTGAGGGTATATGAGTCTTTGTTACGTATGAATCTCTCTCCTAGCCCAAACCCCCGATCCCTAAACCCTACACCCCTGGACTCTAAACTCTATCAACCCTAGCCCCCCCAACCCAAACACTACCCAGCTATCTCGAATACATGATGCCCCGGGCAGGATCGCAAACCCTAAACCCTAATCCCTAGACCCTAGACCCTAAGACCCTAAGACCCTAAGACCCTTAGACCCGAACCCTAAACCCCTAAAACCCTATACCCGATGAACTCTAAACCCCTGAAGGACTGGATAGAGTTGAAGCGGCAAGCTTCAGACATCATAACCAAGCAGGCTGGCCCACGCTCAGGGCTTATACCTGGAGGTTCATGGTACTTCGTAACTCAAATTTAGCTGCACCTATAACCTAAGTGGGTTATGACTACACTTGTAATTGGTTACCACGTGCCCTGAACCTCCAAGTAGGGCTTTTGAAGACGATGTGTGCGAAGGATGTAGGGTTTGGGGCTTAGGTTTGGGGTTTAGGGCTTGGGGTTTAGGGTTTGGGGTTTAGGGTTTGGGGTTTAGGGTTTAGGGCTTAGGAGCTCTCACGTTGTGGTGGCCCTCCCCCCCCCTTCCCCACCCAAGCGTCTCGGAGCAGTCATGGCTGCAGAGGGGCATCTTTTCTCCCAACCCCTACACCCAAAAACCAAAACCCAAACGCAGAGACACCCCTACCCCCTAAGCCCTAAACCCCCGAAACCCTGAATCCGGTCCTCCTAAACCCTAAACCCAGGCCCCAAACCCCTACAGAGCCCCAAGTCATACCTGCAGCTTGGTATACCTGCCTAAAACCCTCAAACCCTTCAACGCTGAACCACTGCAGCACTAGACCCAGGGATCCCCAGAAAGCACTGGCCGAGCTCTCGAAACCCCAGCCCCTGAACACCCTCAACCCCTAAACCCCTAAACCTAAACCCTAAACCCTAAACCCCTAATTCCCTAAATCCCTAAATCTCTAAACCCCTAAATCCCTAAACCGAAACAGGGGCAATCCGCAGCTGCCGCGGCGATCCTGGGTCAAGATCAGTTCTCTGTGGCTTAGGGTTTTGATTTGAGGCTTTAGGGTATAGGGTTTAGGGTTTTAGGGTTTAGGGTTTAGGGTTTTGAGGCCTCAGGGGGGGCTTATTAGGGGATTTTTGCGGGCTTTCGGGCTGATTAAGGGACTTGGGGTTTAGGGTTTTAGAGTTTAGGGCTTTCGAGGCTTTAGGGGCTTGTGGGGTTTTGTGGTTTTCGGGCCTTTGGGGCGCTCGGGGGCTGAGGGTTATATTGAGGGTTTGGGGTTTGGCGTTGGGGTTTTCGGGGTTTGGGGCCCCAGTTGGTTAACGGCTGAAAACCTCTCTAGTCTGGGGATCTGTCTTTGAACCCTGATCTCTATTTTTGGCCCGAACATGGTTTACGGACTATTCCTTAGACCCTTTGCCCGAAATGCTTACAGTTTATTGGGGTTTACTAAGCCTTAGCTCCGAGTAAACAAAGGCTAAACCCTAAACCCCAAACCCTAAACCCGATCTCCAGGCTATAGGCAGAGCGCATGTTTTTGCTGCCACAGTCCCGCAAGTTCAGGAAGCCGCAGCAGCGTGGAGCCAGCTTTGGCACCCGTCTCGGTGAAAGCTTCCGGGGTTTAGGGTTTAGGGTTTAGGGTTTAGGGTTTAGGGTTTAGGGTTCAGGGTTTAGGGTTTAGGGTCTAGGGTTTAGGGCTTGGGGGGAAGGGATTAAGGTTCAGGGTTTAGGGCTTAGGCTTCTTAAGATTCGGCTTTCTTATTTGGGGGCCTAGGGTTTAGGGCCCTGCGTGAAGGTTCTGTGGCATGTATGTCCGAAGCCACGAGTGGGGCAAGTAATTAGTGTTACAATGAGGCTTCTTAAGTAGTGGTTTTTTTGAAGGAAGAGTCAGAGACAAGCAGATTTATGGTGGCGTCGGGTTTCAGGGCAGCTTTGGCGCATGCCATCTTGATGCCAATACCCCAAACGCTAAACCCTAAACCCTAAACCTTCGCAGCTGCCCCACCGTTTACTTCAGTTAAGTGTATGAGGATGGGCTTAGGGATGCAGAGTCAAACCCCAGGCTGGTTCTGTGTCCGGAAGGGATTAGGATTTCGGAATTAGGGTTTAGGATTTAGGGTTTGGGGTTTAGGGTTTAGGGTTTAGATGTTCAGAGCCAGTTCTAATTGCTTTTGTGGTAGGAGGGATGTATGCAGCACATGGGTTAGAGCATTCTGTTGGGCTCTTTCTAGCCCCACTTGTATGTACTCATGAAAAGCGTTCTTCAGGGAGGGGTGATGGTGTACTGAGAACTAGAAGGCGGGGGGGGTGGCTGCCATGGCAATACCACGGTTCCTCATGCGCAGCCATGAAGGCTCAGGTGTTAGCTAAGGCAACTGACCACATCCTCATGTTCTTGCTTGTATGATTTGGTCCGTCCAGATCTATCGCGATCTTTAAATTGCGAAATCAGATACAAAGGCAGAACCTCATCTAACAGTTGCTTATGAACAGGAGTTCTTCGAAACCCCATGGATGGGTTCTTAGCAACATACATTTTTCGGTTGGAAAGTCGAACGCAAGATATCAGAAACAGCTCCCATGAAACCTATATAGAACGTTTCCTACATATGCGTATTGCTTTCGGTATTTAGTAACAAAACAATGAGGCAATCGCTTTTTGATTAGCGAAAACACGGAAAAATGGGTTAACACGCAGCCGCATCTGTTTGGCGACCAGCTTCGCATCGTGCTCGGCCGCAGTCTAGCAGGACTGTTTGTTGCAAGTCCCGTCTTTTTGGGGGGTTTAGTTGTCCGGGTTCTTGAGCTTGACGTTTTTAGGTTGTATTATTGTGTTCTTTTTGGACGACGGTGTTGGGGCTTAGGTTGCTTTTGGTGTTATTGTCAGGGTCCATTGGCTTTAGGGCGTTATCGGGTGTAGGTTTTGATTTGGGGAATGGTGTTTACCTCCTGCAGTCAAATTTTCATTGAAGATGAAAGTAGGGGTGAGTGTTTAGAATTTAGGCTCCGATTTCAGGGATTTGGTCGTTCCCAATTTGCGGTCGAAGGTCTTCCGAGTGTCAAAAGGAACCTGCAGGATCCCAAAACTTCCCCCCTCTTTGTCCCTTGGGTTGCATCGGGTATTTCAGTGATAGAATAACCTTAAGAATCCAAAGCCTCGATTTTTGTAGGTTACCTAAGCATCCTATCAGGGCTTGGTATAGAAATAACTGACAAAAAAAGTATACCTTAGGTTTGGGGTTCCAAGGAAGGGCTCACAACTTCGGTGGCCCATGCTTGAAGGTTTATACTGGAAAGGCTTACAAGTGTTTATAAGGGTTTGTACAGGTGCATAAGGGCTTATAAGGGACATTGACGTTTTTATATGGATGTTCAGAAGGGTTTATAAGGGCACGCGTTGAGTGGCCGATGTAGGGACCGATGGTGACCCTGATGAATGTGCACATGACATCGCACCCCGCCGCTATCTCGGCGAAAGACTACACTTAACCCTAAACCCTAAACCCTAAACCCTAAACCCTAAACCCTAAACTCTATAGTTTTTGAGATAGGACCAAGTCCGAGAACTTTTCGGAATAAGGCTGTGGGGGGAAGATCGTTCGGAGACCGCATGCCACGGCTGCAATGAGGATAGGCCCTACCTGGAGCAACCTTGGACCTTGTCAAAGGTTTCGGGTTTAGGGTCTGGGGTCTAGGGTTCAATGATTTAGGTACCTTCCTCCTTTCTTGGTGACTAGGCCAAAAGAAGCCGACCCTAGACTCTAAAGCCCAAACACCCTTAACCACGGGTCCCTAAACCCTAAACCCTAAACCCTAAACCCTAAACCCTAAACCCTAAACCCTAAACCCCAAACACCAAACACCAAACACCCCAAAATAGGATGCTGGATTGCGGCTGCAGCACGGGCCGCTCGGGTGCGATCTTCCACTGGGTCGGCCATTTTGTCTTTGGGAGTTTAGGGGTTAGGGACCCATAAACCCTGGCCCTAGACTTTAGGTTTAGGGAATCCCAGAATCTACACCCTAGACACTAAACCCTAAACCCTAAACCCTAGGGGTAGGGACCCTCTAGTTCGGAATTTGAGGGTTTGGGGTTTGGGATTTGAGGTAGAAAGGGTTCAAAGGGTTTATAAGGCTTATAGGGTCTACCGGGCTGGGGATGTTTAAAGATTTAGGGTTTATAGGGTTATCGGGTTTAGGGTTGTTCTGGCTGGTTTTTCTGCAGGTGTGTGCTTGGGTTTTTTCAGGCCCTGGGGTTTGCAGTGACAGTAGCTTGAACATAGGTCTTGGGCACCTGTTTTGCCAAAGAGTCGCCTTGCAGTTTTGGTGATTCAGGGTGTAGGCCTGAGCCGAATAAATCCTGAACCTTGAGTCATAAAACCTACACCCTAAAGCCTGAACCTTGAACCTTGAACCCTAAACCTGCAGCAAGAAATGGAAGATGATCATGGCAACGGCCACGGGCATAAGAAGAATGGACACGACTGGGTTTCCTGGAGACCTCGCCCTCGCCCCCGCCGCCGCGGGGTGCTTGTCGTGTAACCCCGACAAGTGTACCGCGGAATCATTACCACGAAACAGCACAAAAGGCGAATTCACATGCGGCGTGCGCGTCCCGCACTCCACCTACTTCGTGGGTCTCGGATCAACTTTCATCACCGGCGGCAGCAGTGTACCACGGATTGGATACGCAGAGAGCTCGCATAATCATCGCCATATGAGACACTCTCCTTTTCCATCCCTTTCTCTCCTCTGCTCAGACAACTACCCACAATATCCCCTCTAATGATCCTTCTGTAGATGCAACGTAAACTCTCGCAAACACCCCTTCTAGCCAAGCTATCCGGCTTTACGGTTTGCTAAGCCCTATAAAACCCTAAACCTTATAGTTAGGTCGTAGCTGCCCATGACAATTCCAAGGTAGGCATCTTAGCCTTCGCTGAGGTGTGAGCCGTCTGCTTGGCTTGGCGAGCAGCCTGCCATCACAGGCGGCTTATGCTTTCAGGGTTTGGGATTTAGGGTTAAGTAGGGTTTAGGGTTTAGGGTTTAGGGTTTAGGGTTTAGGGTTTAGGGTTTAGGATTTCAGGGCTTGTGTTGTTTTACTTGGGTACCAAGGGTCTTCTTCAGGGTTTAGGCTGTAGAACTGCAGGGTTGAGATTGTGAGTTGAGGGTTCGGGACTTAGAGTTTATAGGGTTTAGGGTTTAGGGTTTGGGCCTTGACCGCTCAAACCTCAAGCTCTGGGTGCATTCTTGCCCAGACCTCCTCACCCTCCAGCCCCACCTCCAAGCCGAAACCCTACATCCAAAAGCCAAAACTTTTCAAAAGAGCTACAAGCCGAGGGTTTAGGGTTTAGGGTTTAAGGTTTAGGGTTTAGGGTTTAGGGTTTAAGTCCCCAAGCACTAAAATCTTAAACCCGAAGACTAGAACACTTCAACCATCAACTCTAATGGACCAGATCGCTTCAGCATCAACTCTAGTGAGGGTTATAGGTCGTAGGGTTGAGGGCTTGGGGTTGTTGAGGTGGGCTTAGATGTTCTAGGTCCCCTCAAACGACCAGCCCTGACGATTGACAGGATCCCTCGCGTTCATCGATGGAGATTCTCGAGGCAACTGACCCCCAGAGGGTTTGGGGGCATAGGGTGTAGGGTTTAGGGTTTTAGGGTGTAGGGTGTAGGGTTTAGGCTCTAGGGGTGAACGCCCTAGGTGTGTATTGATGGGGAGGGGGCGGTGGTTGAAGAGAAAGGAGAGGTCCCGCCACCCCTGCCACCCACAGATTCCCTGACTTCCCTACATTCCAAAAAAGCTACCACCTATAAGCCCCCGAGACGGGTCTTGGGGCGGTTTGTGTTGGCGCGGTTTAGGGTTTAGGGTTCGGGGATAGGGTTTAGAGTGGAAGCAACCCCTGTACGCTTGCTCAATCCTCACGCTCCCCCTTCTCCGCCGTCCCAAGAAGCCTCCAACAACAGGGATTTGAAATGGGCCAAAAGCCCTGCACCCCTAAACTCCAACGAAGCCCTGAACCTCAAGCCATGAACTCCAAGCCCCCAACGAAGCTCTAAACCCTGATGCATGCTGGTAGCTTGCTGCAGGGGTTTAGGGGCTAGGGTTTAGGCTTTAGGCTTCAGGCTTTAGGCGGGCTTTTGGCTTTAGGGTTTTCGTGCCCTATCCCTTGTGCTCAGCCTTCTCGCGACGGCCGGCGGTTTTTGGCCTGGCTTCGGATGATCGAGGCCGGAAAAAGAGGGCCCAGGCGTTTTGGTGTTTAGGGTTTAGGGTTTAGGGTTCAGGGTTCAGGGTTTGGGGTTTGCGGTTTAGGGTTTGGGGTATAGGGCTCCAAGTATACAGGTAATACCTACATCGGGGTCGAAAGGCTATAAGTATGCCTACTTTGGGCTCTTTGGAGCCTTAGGCATTAGGGTTCAGAGTTTAGAGGTTTAGAGGGTTCAGGGTTTAGGGTTTAGGGTTTAGGGTTTAGGGCTTAGGGCTTAGGGTTTAGGGTTTGGGGCAAACCCCCAGGGTTTAGGGGCCCTATGCCTTGGGATATTCCCCCCTCAGATTCGCAGTTCCTTAGTAGGGATGATAGTAGTGGGCGCT